CCGTCCATGCGGCCCATCGTGACGTTGTAGGCGATGTTGCCACGGCTGAGGATGAAGGCCGCGTCCCGGGCGGCCAGCACGACGATGTCGGCACAGGAGACGCTTTCGCCGAGCTTGCCTTTTATCCTGTCGATCAGGTCGAAGCCCTCCAGGCCGATGTTGTTTATCGCGTCCTTCTCCGTGCTGCCGCCGTCCGGCGTCCTGTCTAAGAGCACCGATCCATCGCAGCCCTGCACGTACATCGTTTATTACTACGCAAAAGTGCATGCATGGATAGATAGTCCTACATCTGTCATCGACGGCAATACGGCACGCAAATTTGTCGGATCATGCCTTGCTTATACTTACGTGGACCCAGCAGTCGTGAAAGAGCAACCGGACGAGGGCGGCGCCGACACGATCGTTTTTGTCCATGGCCTTGGCTACTTCCTTCTTAACCGTGTCCGCAACGTCATCGTGCTTCTTGCCAGCGCCACCGTCGGCCAGCACGGGCTGCCCGTGCCCGACGAAGAAGACGAGCGACAGGCAGACAAACACCCCGATGGCGCCGGCGCCGAGCTTGATCACCATCGTAGATCGATCTGGAGATGGATATTGCTAACCTTATTTTTTTCCTGGAATACAAGATGAATTGTTGTGTGTGTGTTGAGATCGAGCGGTATATATAGCGGCTCTATAGCATGCACACTGACGTTGATCACGACGGAGCAAAGAGCTGCATTGAATGCATGGGCGCGCGCCGGAGATCTCGCTGGGCTTCGATAGCTTGCATGCACCTGACGCACTTGTCTATCCTGCTGCTGCTTGTCGTTCAAGCATTTGGCGTAACGCGTGCTTAATTAATTAACTGTTTGGATACAGTCGATGCCAGAAATGCAGGCCAAGCAAGCATGCATCATGGTGCTTAGCACAGCCACAGCTAGCTTATCATAATCTCTGGATAATCAGCTGGACCGCGCGCGTGGTGTCGTTACGCCACCAAAATATGTATTGGTCAACGTACGCGCGTGTGCAAGTTGCCACGATCAACTTGCATCGTTTTGCAATTAATCTCGCGGATTCGCTGATTCCCGGTTTTCCTCCCTTAAATCTTAGTAATCTGAATTGCGCGTTACTGGTTCAAAAATGCCCTCGCGAAAATATTCAATTGTAATCAAAGCTTTCCTGCAGTCGTTAGTTTTTCCTTTTTCCATTTTAGCAATCACGGGAGGGAACGGGAAGTCCCCACCTGAACTGAATGCATTACTCAAACAACCATCAGGCTAGTTTTATAGAACTAGGTCATTGCCCGTTGCAACGTAGGCCTAATTCTAGTGGTTTAACATTGATTATATCCTCATGCATATCAGATGCATTGTCAAATTTTCATTACAACAGTCTTCTTCCTGCACTTACTAACTTAACAAGACTGTGTTCCTAATGGCAAGCCCTTTGCATCGTGTGTCTTGCCATAAAAGACACAAGCATTCCTCGAGTCCCAAATGTTCGAAAGGATAGAGAGAGCCACATTAAGACAGTTGTTATTGTTGAGCCTATGCAGAGAGGATACATCCCAAATAAGGTCAATGGAGATGAGGGTGGCAAACCCAAGTTGAGCTAAACTTGATTTGCACAACGACATGGAATGAAAAGGTGTAACGCATTCTCGTAGGGCATGGCGGCAGGGGTAGAGGATGCAGAGCGATGTTCTTGTGGAAGAGGTTGTTCCTAGTGTTTGGCCGATAGGCATTGAAGTCCTCGCCATGCACAACCGTGAGGAGGGAGTAGGATTGCTTGCTGGAGAAGGAGGCCCCATGTCCATGTAACACCCCAAGCATTGGGGATCAGAGGAGGTAGTAAGTGAGAGGGGAGGAATGAGCGGGTGAGAATGAAACAACACCAGTGGGTGAGAGCAAGTGGCCGTAATTCTCATTCGATAACCCCTAACGGGTTGTTTGGATAGTGAATATTAGCCCTGGGTTTTAGGAAAACAAGTTTTAAGCTGATTTTTTGCTAAACCGGTATTACTTATTTTTCTGTGCATAATCGATTCAAGGAAAACTTTGTTTGGGTGAAGGAAAGCCTGAAACCAGCGTACATAGATCCTTGTTTGGAGACCGATCGGCTGCAACTATTCCCTCTCTTCCAGAAAAAAATATTTGTATTTTCTACGTATTCTTCTACCTGTGAGCTGGTGGCCTTTCCAAAGCTGGCCACTTTCTTCAATCTGGCCGGACGGCAGCTTCCAAATCTCCGATTCATCGTCGCCGTTGCCTCCTGTCACCAACACCACTTCCAAGCGGCTCCCCTCTTTGTGTCCAGTTACTCCTTCGTCCCCAACTCATAGAAGCTACAGCTCGCCTACACTCTGGCTTTGACGACACGACGCACGCGCGACGCCGGCAGTGGATTTCCACGGCTCCTGCATGGGTGCCCTACGGCTTTTGTAGTGGGCCCACCGGAGCCCAAGAAGAAGGACATGTACGTCGGCCTCGCCTGCGTCGTCGTCAAGGGCAAGCTCATGGATGCTCTGCACCGTCCTTGGCACCTTCGTCCTCATCGGCGATGGAAAAAACGGCGCGTGGAGGTAGCTGCGGGAAGGAATAGTTGGCGCCAATGTGTTTGTTGAGGAACGAGCGGAGAGGAACAAGTCAGTTACGGAGAGTTTTCTGTAATCTTGTTTTCTGAAAAACGACTATTAGACGTTTTTGATAAAACCTACTTTCCTGGCTTTGTGAAAACAGAATTTTAGTTATCCACGTTTTTGTTGGAGGGTCCAAACATGGTTTTAGTTTGTTAGACAGTTATATGAGTTCACGCAAAACTGGTTTGGCTAATCCCACGTATCGCTAAGAGTACTCTCGCTAGGCGTAAGTAGTTATATGCCCCTTGGGCTCTCGCGGTTTATAAGGCCCGCGACACAAATCCGGTCGCTACACGCAAGTGCACTTTCAGTCCGATGTAGGTTCAGGTTCCTGAACCTGAACTGCATATATGACAGTTGCCTCTACTTGAGGTGCTGCTTCTTCCCAGATGACGGCATTGGGGTAGCGCAAGCATAACATATTATAATCTTCCCACGTTGTGGCATCCATCTGTAGCGTGGACCATTGGACACGAATTTGGGTAATCGCCACGTCTTCTTCACCATGCAGTGCTCTAGGGTGGCGATCGGAGCGAGCGGCGCGTCCGTTAGGTCAAAAATCTTGGATAGCTCAGACAAGACCAGCGAGTAGTTGGGAGTGAATGGCTTGAGCTGCAAAACATGGAAGACGGGGTGGATCATGCTGTCTTGCGCGAGGTCGAGTTTGTGTGAGAGGGCGTTGTTGCACTTAGTGACCGTGAATGGACCGAAGTACTTGTACGCACGTTTGCGGCAGGGCCTACTGGCGACGGAGACTTGCAAGTATGGCTAGACCTTGAGGAGGACTTGCTCATCAACGGTGAAGATGTTCTCAATGCGGTGTCGATCAGCTTGCTTCTTGAATTCCTATGTGCGCTAGAGCCAGCTGGCGCGCGGCAGTTTGATGTGCGTGACCCAATCCAAGTCACCACTCGCCGCATCAGTGGGCAGCTGATCTCTGAGGAAAGGCAGGACGCCCAAATTTCGCTCTTTGCTGTAGAGAGCCTTGAACGGTGAACATTGGAGTGAAGAGTGATGCGTCGAATTTTACCAGAATTTTGCTACCGCAAGCCACTTGCGCCACCGCCCGGGTCGATCTTGCACGACGCAATGGAGATACATTTTGTGGCATTGGTTCACGCGCTTGCTCTGGCCGTCGGTTTGGGGGTGGTACACCGTGGAGTAAAGGAGCTTGGTGCCGACGGCGGCGAGTAGTTAGTGCCACATGGTACAATGTAAATTACCCAGCATGCTAGGTACATTCACCGCCATAATAGTGATGTAGTTATATGAATACTGATGTAGTTATTTGGTCGCTTTGGCTATGTAGAAATGATAAGGTTTTTAATGATAAAAGTATTTCTCTGATGCAGGTTATCTACAGATGCATCGGTACTCTTCGTTTATAGTCCTCTCTACAACGTGTGGAGAATCGAAACTTGTTTACGGAGGTGCGTACACTTTTACCCAACATGGGTGGCAACATGATCTCAGGATCCCCCCCCCCCCTCCCCCAACGCTTTAGGCGTTATACGGACTCTACATGTTTCTTTGTATTTCGCCTTTTAAATTTTTTAGTTGTGTGAGAGGACTTTTTTTGACTGTGTATATATTAGTTATGCAGAGACCGGGTGTAATATTTAAATCTTTTAAGTAATATAAAAAGCACCCCTTTAGAAAAAAAAACATGAACAGTTGCAGTGAGGTCTAGTTTTGTAATCAATAACTATCACTAGTATTCTGACAAACGCACATAATGTTATCGGTAACGAACAATAGTGATAACTCTTATACTACAGGATCATAACTCCCAACATATAAAAATGATTGAAATGTTGCACACACAAAATTATTTGTCATGCTTATGTGGATAGGTTGACAACTTGTATATTGCAGCTGGGTAACTCTTTACCCGAAATAAAATCATCGGAATATACAAATATTGAGTCTAGTTTCGAAAGTCTTGTCGTGATGAATTTTAATGATGAAAACGAATCTTTAATTGGACTGATGATTGAGCTATCAAAATATTTTGAATTTTTGAAAGTTCACAAAATAGTCCACTCAATTAGTTTTTTTTAGGAAAGTCAACATGCAATCAATTAGTTAATTGTCATAGTTATTACAGTAGGATAACTGGGTGGACGATTACACAACCTCACCTATATCCGGAGACACGTATATAAATAAGTAATCCCTCCGTAAACTAATATAAAAGCGTTTAGATCACTAAAACAGAGGAGTATGTGTCAAACCAAAGGAAATAAACACCGGTGCCCATGTTTTCTTTTGACAATAATATACCATCCGACATAATAATATATAAGTAAATCAACAAACATAATAATGAATAAAGGCGATCATGTTTTGCCTCGTTTCAAATTTTCTCGAGGAGCCTCTAGTTGGTCTTACTGCACACGTTCCTGATCTCGATCTTGGAAGGGTCGCTCGTGGCGGGGAGCTTGCTGAGCTTTTCCATGGCGCTGCCGAAGTCGTTGTTCCACGTGCCGGCATTATTCATGTACTCCCTCACCTTGGTCACCGCGTTCACCCCCAGCACCCTGTCGGATGGGAAAAGCGCCATCTTCTGGAGGACGGCGTTGTAGAAGCTGTTGTCCAGGACGCCCTTCGCCGCCATTCTCTCCTTGTTGTCGTCTTTGTAACCGGAGGAGATCTTCAGCGGGCCGCCGTCGTACTCGCGGACGTTGTTCTTAACTGCATTTGGATCCTTGAGTGTTTCCCAGCGGACGGCCGTTTGGTACATTTCAGGGGTACCAGTGACGTTAATGGTCGTGCTGTGAGCGACGCCCACTGCGTGCGCGCCGGAGAGGGCGACGACATCCTTCTCAGTGAAGACGACCTTGTCGGTGAACTTTTTCACGAGGACCGTGAAGTCGGCGCCGGTGCCTGGGAGCTGGTTCCCCGGGTCCTCTGATCTGGAGATGACGCCGTCCTTGCGGCCCGGCCCGTCGACGTTGTAGGCGATTTTGCCGTTGCTCAGCAGGTAGACTGCCTCGCGCGCCGCGTAGATGACGGCGTCGGTGCAGGTGACCTTGTAGTCGGCGAGCTTCTCCTTGATCTTGTCGATCACCTCGAAGCCACGGAGGCCGATGTTGAAGCCCGAGTCCTTCTCCGTCGTCCCATCGGCGCTGCTTTCGCGCGAGGTCATCAGCAGCACGGATCCATCACAACCCTGACATACCGACGTGATATTATGGCTTAGTTTACGCTCTAAGTTCGGTACGTAGAATTCTGTTGTTACATCAACAAAAGAGTTTTTCAAATATCCACGGTACGTATATTCCAAAAGTATCATTTTTTCGCGAGAAATTGCAAAAAGTATCTTCTTTTTGCGGCGAAGTATCTTCAATTACTTACATTGACAAAGCAGTCGTGGAACATGAGCCGGATGAGGCCGGGGCGGGCGTCGTTTCCGGTGAAGTTAACGGCATTCACTTGTTCCCTCACAACTTTCATCATGGCCTCGGTGTACTCGCCGGCGGCCACCACCGACTTCACCTGGACGGCGAGAACGACCATGATGACCACCATGGCCACGAGCACCAAGAGAGACGCCTCCTTCTGGTCACGCTTCGCCATGATCGACCTCTTCTGCTTTTGGACTCGCAAAAACTGGGCTAGCTATATTACTTCTTGCAAGCTGTGGATGATTTAGTTGTGGTGAACAACAGGTGTATTTATGCAGCTGAATAACGTAAGCACAGCAGTTGTTTATGCGCCTTGTGATCCGTGCTGCTGATAGTTAACTAAGATACGGATTGATATCGGTCGAACGTGCACAACAATTATGCACTTAGTGGTGCTAAACTTCTTCAGCTCCGATAAACCGAATTAACATGGTGAGCTGCCGCCGCCTATGCTTTTGCTTGGTCGTCTCAACGTGTCCAAGCTGTCTGGAATTCCAGCCAGGCATTTCGCATCAACTTGCATACTCATGTCAACCTCTCTTGTTTCTCCCATTTATGCTGGATGTTTATCATCCAAGCTGATGCACATGGTTAGACATCCCAATAATCATGGAGTCCTATTGCAGAAGTTTAGCTCAGGCGAAAAGAAGACAAATATATCGAGGCCAGGCATCTGAAGGAAGTTGGAGAGTCGGATGATTCAATGGGGACTAGCAAAATAATGATCAAAAAATTTAATTAGCCATGCGATGTTTTCATAAAATAAAATAGATTTGCTAAAGAAATGACTAAGGAAGCTTTAATCAATTCTATTGTTTCATCAGGCTTTTTCGACTAGAGGTGGATTTTATTAATGTGAAATGGGACATCAAGAGGATGCAAACACACTGCATAGCTAGGATGCACACAACCGATCAAAGTTATGCATAGGCGAATAAAAAAGAAAAACTCAAAGCGATCTGATCTACAATCAGCAAACTACAACAATGACCATATCCGCAACAACCATCTCATGACACCAAAGGGACTCCAAGGAGCCCTTTAGTTTTGAAAAATTCAAAATTCAAACTTTCTAGTTTTAAAAAAATCTGAAAAAAATGCAAGTATAGAAGGATGAAATGTATATGTGTGTAAGAATTCAAGATGAAATTACCTTGAAATGCGGCCTGTACAAAAAAGATAAATTTCTGGACTTTGAGGATGAATAATATCATGTGTTGAAAAGTCCTAGATTTGTTTTTTTACACAGCCATCATTTCAACGTAATTTGTACTGAAAATTTACACACATGTACATGTACATTATGTCTTCATGTATATCTTTATTTTTCTCCATATTTTTTTGAAATGTAAAAATATGAATTTTGAATTTTGTGAAAGGAGGCCTCCATGGAGTTCGGCCTCCAAAAGCAATTTTTGGGAACGCAATGAGTATATGTTTAATCAGTATATCAAAGAAGGTATTTACTTGGGAAAGGCATAACTTGAACTCAAGACTTTGGGCTCTGGTACCATTTTTTTCAAAAGGGGAGACTCCCCGGCCTCTGCATCAGAACGATGCATACGGCCAACTTATTAAAAAGATAAATAGGTCCAACAAAGTCTTATTGTCTCAAAACAAAAATAAAGGAGAGCTCACAAAGAGCCAAAAGGGCCAAAAACAAACTGGCCAAGAAAAGCCACAACCAGCTGGCATAAGAGAGACAGGTAAACTAATTGCCTATCCTATTACATGACTGTCATCCAAACCGGTTGAAGATATCCCGTGCTATCATCTCCCAGCGGGTAGATCCAGTAACCAAACGCTCCTTGGCCTCCGTCGGAGTGAGTAGCGACAACATACTGATCAATGCAGTGGCTCAGAAAATAACCTGTAAAAAATGAATATTTGTTGTTCTGTTAAAGACCAAATCATTTCTGCAGTTCCAGACTGCCCACGATAAAGCACAAACTCCTACTCGAATATGTCTCGCTGTTTCGGTGTCCATCCTGTTAAGCCACGTTCCAAATAATGTGTTGACAGAACTCGGTGGAGTAATATTAAATGCAATATGGACAGTCCGCCATAAGACTTTTGCTAACGGGCAATCAAGAAAAAGGTGTTTGATGGTTTCATCCCGATCACAGAAACTACAACTAGTAGATCCTGTCCAGTTACATTTTGCCAAATTATCCTTGGTTAATATTACTTGTTTATGGACAAACCACATAAACACTTTGAGTTTCAAAGGGACTTTAACATCCCAAACATTGTTTGGAACTAGGAATCGAGCTTGAATTAATAACATCAACATACATTGATTTAACAATAAACTCTCCAGACCTAGTAAGCTTCCAGCGTAATTTATCCGGTTGTTGGTTTAGCTGAATCTCCATCAGTCTACTTACTAGATGGAGCCATTCTTCCCAACGATTGCCAATTAGCGTCCTTCTAACTCAATATTAAGGGGGGTGGATTGAAGTACCGTTGCAACGAACGCCTCACGTCATTGAACAATACGATACAGAGACGGGTATTGAATGGCAAGGGGGTCTCTCCGAGCCAAGTATCCTCCCAAAATCGTGTACTAGCACCGTTGCCAATAATAAACTTTGTCCTATTAAACAAGGTTAATTTGACTTTCATAAGCCCTTTCCAAAAAGGTGAGTCAGTCGGCCTTGTTGTCACCCGTGACAAAGTTTTGGAGTGAAGATACTTGCTACGGAGGATCTGCGCCCAAGTGGCATCAGTCTCCATCGATAACTTCCACAACCACTTGCTGAGAAGACATCTGTTCTTGACCTCAAGATTCTCAATACCAAGACCCCCTTGGTCTTTCGGTCAACAGATGATATCCCATTTGGCTAGTCGATATTTTCTTTTTAACTCATCACTCTGCCAAAAAAATCGTGATCGATAGAAGTCCAGTCTTTTCTTAACTCCAACTGGGACTTTGAAGAACGAAAAAAGAAACATAGGCATACTCGTGAGAACCGAGTTAATCAGAATTAATCGGCCTCCGTATGACATGAGCTTGCCCTTCCAGCAACTCAGTTTCTTTTCAAATCGGTCCTCGATGCACTTCCATTATCTATTTGTTAGCTTACGATGGTGGATTGGTAATACCTAAATACGTAAAAGGTAAAGTCCCCAATTCGCACCCAAACAATTGCCTATAGGCCTCTTGTTCGTCGTTGGCTCTACCAAAGAAGAACAATTCGCTTTTGTGAAAGTTCATCTTTAACCCGGCCAATTGTTCAAATAAGCATAACACCAGCTTCATATTTCTTGCTTTGGACAAGTCATGCTCCATAAAGATGATCGTATCATCGGCGTACTGAAGGATAGACACACCTCCATCAACTAGATGAGGTACCAAGCCACCCACCTGGCCAGCCTCCTTAGCCCTTTCTATCAAAATTGCCAACATATCAACTACAATATTGAACAGGATAGGAGACAACGGATCCCCTTGTCTCAGGCCCTTATGTGTCTGGAAATAATGACCTATGTCGTCATTCACTTTAATTCCAACACTCCCTTTTTGCGTGAACGATTCTACCTGGCGTCGCCACGCTTCATCAAAACCTTTCATACGCAAGGCCTGTTGAAGGATTGGCCATTTGACTTTATCATACGCTTTCTCGAAATCCACCTTAAAAACAACTCCATCTAATTTTTTGTGTGAATTTCGTGGAGTGTTTCATGAAGAGCCACCACCCCTTCTAGGATGTTTCTGTCCGGCATGAAAGCAGTTTGGGAATGCTGCACCACAGAATGCACAATTTGTGTGAGCCTATTAGTCCCAACCTTGGTGAAGATTTTGAAACTAACATTGAGGAGGTAGATCGGCCTGAACTGCTCAATTCTCACAGCTTCCATTTTCTTAGGAAGCAGTGTTATTGTTCCAAAATTTGGATGAAATAACTGAAGTTGTCCAGAGAATAGATCATGGAACATTGGTAACAAATCCCCCTTAATAATATGCCAACACTTTTTATAGAACTCCGCCGGAAATCCATCTGGCCCTGGAGCCTTATTGTTCTTCATCTGCACAATAGCTTCAAACACCTCTTTCTTCGAGAACGAGGCAACCAAAATATCATTTTCATCAGCAGTGAGTTGAGGCACATCCTCCAACCTAGACTCATCCAGGGACACCGAACTATCCTCCGGAGGTCCAAACAACTGCTTATAGTACTCGGTTATGTATAGTTTGAGGTTATCCTGTCCTAAAATAGTTCCTTCATCTTGTTCAAGCTGAAAGATTCTCTTCTTTCTGTGCTTGCCATTAGCAATCAAGTGAAAGAATTGAGTGTTGGCGTCCCCCTGGACAACCTTCCGGACCTTAGCCCGCAACGCCCACTTTAATTCCTCCTCAAGGAGAAGCTCTTTCAACCTCATCTCCGCTTGAAGTTTAGCATGAAGCTCCGTGGCTTGCAAAATCGTGGATTCGGCTTTTAAATCTAGGGACTAAATAAGTGAAAGGAGCCTTTCCTTTTCAACCTTATAAATCCCACTAAGGTGCTTAGCCCACCCCCGTAAGAAACTTCTAAAATGCCTTATTTTATTCTGCCAACGCTCAACAGAAGTCCTACCTCTTGCATCCTTAGCCCATTCCCTGGCTATTAGATACAATAAGCCTTCATGTGCAAACCATGCCAGTTCGAATGAAAAAGAATTTTTGTTTCCTACGTGGTTTGGCTCACCCGAGTCCACGAGTAAAGGCATGTGATCAGAAATTCCGCGCGAGAGAGCCTGGACCGTTGCCAAAGGGAATTTTTGTTCCCACTTGACGCTCGCTAGGACTCGGTCCAGCTTCTCAAACGTCGGGTTTGGCAAATTATTAGCCCAAGTAAACTTTCTACCAAAAAGCTCTATCTCTCTCAGATCCAAGCTTTCAATAATGGTGTTGAACATAAACGACCATCTGTCGTCAAAATTATCATTATTCTTTTCCTCTCTCCTTCTAATGATATTGAAGTCACCCCCAACTAAAATTGGGAGCTGCTCAGAGCCGCAAATTCGGAAAAGATCCGCCAAAAACTCTGGTTTAAACTCGGGCTGCGCTGCACCATAAACCGCCACCAGAGCCCAGTTAAACCCATCAGCTTTGGACCTAACCCGAAACTTAACCACGAAGTCACCCATCACTACACTTCGAACTTCTAGCGAATCACATCTCACTCCAAG